GTGTGGGGAGGGGACTGTGAGCTTGCTTACGCCCATGGTTTAGTGGGTGTGGCTGCATATCTACACATGTTTAAGAAGACTGTTGGAAACTGTACCACCTGCAGTGCCCTATATCCATTGTGCATATAGAACATTCGTGTGCATGTACACACTATACATACAAGGCTGATCAATTAAGGGGATAACATTCCATAGACGTCTCGGGATATATTTTGGTAAGTAAAGCAGGCAGTATATTTCTTTAAAAAAAAAAAAAAACTTCAAAACTTTACATACAGGTACACACATATATATGTGTGTGTACACACAAGAGCACACTTACAAATATATATACACATGCACACACTTGTTTGTTGTTGTTGTTTTGTTTTTCAAGACAGGGTTTCTCTGTGTAGCCCTGGCTGTCCTGGAACTCACTCTGTAGACCAGGCTGGCCTCGAACTCAGAAATCCGCCTGCCTCTGCCTCCCAAGTGCTGGGATTAAAGGTGTGAGCCACCACTGCCTGGCCACGCACACACTTGTAAGAGTCCAAGGAGACCTGACGAGATGCCGCCTTTCAGTTCTTCGGGTTCTCTGTTTCTTTGCATGGCTGGGCTTTGTCTAAAGCCTTCTTGTGATGGTGAGGAGAGCTACGCCCTCTTCTACCCCAGGGCGCACGCTCACAAGCACACGTAAACCTTGAGCTCAGCACTGTTCCAGTGGCCCCAGCTGACGCTCTGTTGGTCCAGAGTGTGAGCAGCTGGTACCAGGCATCCAGTGGGCTGGAGCAGGAGGCTCCACGTCTCTGTCTCTGCCTCCCCTTCAAGCTCTTCCTTGGCTGTGGCAAGACTTCAAGTTCCAGGAGGGAGCTAATGTATTTCCCACCTGTGGCGGTCAAGTTCAAGGCTTAAACAAATTGGCCGGAGAAAGTGCCATGTATCAAAACACGGCCCCAAAGAGAAACAGAGGTGAGAAGTGACAGATGGAACAAGTTGGAGCCATCATGGAAACAGCCAGAATGTGGCCCTTCCGATCCCAGTTCTAAGAGCAGAGTTCACATGGCAATAGGGTTTTGTCATCCTGGCTGTCTCCAGGGAAGGTAGTGACCCACTGCTATCATCAAGCAGGTATTCCTATAAGCAGCAGGTCTGGGGGTTGATGTTGATGTGGATTCCACCTTGGATCTTGTCACCTGCCTGGTCAGAAACCACAGCAAACCTTAAAATCCTAATGAGAGGACAAGCAGCCAAGCAGATGACAGCGAAGCTGGCTCCAAAGGAAGCCAAACTGAAGAGATAGGTGTCCAAGAAAGAGGCCTCCATAAAAAACAAACAAACAGTTGCAGCAGGATGGCAGCTAAAGCTTACGGAAAGCTATAGGGGGACAGACTGATGTGGATGTGAGAAACTTCATGTACACCCGGAAGGATGGAAAATGTTGTCCAAAGAGGTTGTTTCACGGCGTGTTCACAGACACATTACCACCACAGCTCAAACACGGCTGGAAGCACCACCATGTCTATCTGCAGGTAGATGGAGAAGCCACACGGAGGACTATCCGTGGGACAGGATGGGTTTCACTCCTTAGAGGTTCTGTCAGATGTTGCTCCTTAGATGGATGAGCCTTAAAGACAGTGTGCCCGTCACCGAAGGACAAAGGACAAATCCATAGGAGTGTCTACCTGTAGATACTCAGACTAGGCAAATTCAAAGTTGGGAAACACTAACCATGGTGGTTATCAAGGGCTGGGAGAGGCCATGGGGAATTAGCATTTAATGAACTTTCAGTTCAGCATGATGAAGAGCCTTGTGCCCAGTTGGTGTGTAACAGTGTGCACGTGCTTAAGCGACACAGAAGGGCACGCTTGGAAATAACTGAACTAGAAAAAAAAGTAGGGAATGTGTATTTTTACTACAGGTAAAGTGTTTTGTTTTTTGGGTGTTTTGTTTTCTTTGGTATTTGAGACAGGGTCTTATGTAGCTCAGGCTGGTCCCAAATTCCTTTTGCAGCCGAGAATGGCTTTGAACTCCTGATCCCCCTGCCTCGGCTTCCTGAGTGCTAGGATTACTGGTGTATGACATTATCCTCAGATAGACTTAAAATACTATTTACTTATTTGTATGTGTATGTGCTTGTGTGTGTTTATATGCAGTACAGGCATGCAGGCACCTCTGGAAGCCAGAAGGCAGCATTGAATCCCCTAGGGCTGGAGTTACAGGAAGTTCCAAGCTGACACATGAGTGTGGTAACCAAATCCAGGTACACTCTTAGTCTATACTGCAATATTAGTCTGGGTTCTCTAGAGAAGGAGAACGTATAGAATGAATCTCTTTTTCTATATGTATAGAAGGGAGATCTATTAGTCACTTACAGGCTATAATTCAAGTAATCCAACAACAGTAGGCTACGAGTGGAAAGCCCAAGAATCTAGAAGCTGTTCAGTTTACAAGGCTGGATGTCTCAGCTGGTCTTCAGTAGACACTGGAATTCTAAAGAAGTAGGCTCTAGTGCCAATGAAGGGATGGACTTGGTAGCAAGGGGAAAGCAAGAAGGCAAAGAACAAATGCTTCCTTTTTCTTTGGTTTTTTCTTTGTTTGTTTGTTTTCCATGTTCTTATATAGGCTTCCAGCAGAAGATGTGGCCCACATTAAATGTATGTCTTCCTGGGTCTACAGAGCTAGTTCTAGGACAAACAAACAAACAAAACCCCAAACAACAACAACAACAAGGTGTGTCTTGTTGCCTCAAGTTCTGGTTCAAAGGCAGTAGGTCCTCCTTCCTACCTCAGAGGTCTGGACCCAAAGTGGATTCACACACTTCAAACCAAGCAAAACAATCTCACAGGTGTGCCGTTTAGTTTTGGATTGTAATTCTTTCTGATGTAGTCAGGTTGACAACCAAGAACAGCCATCACAACTACTTACTGAGCAATGTCTCCATCAACCTCTATCTAGATTAAAACAAAACCAAAACCAAAACAACTTTAAAAATCTTCCCTAGAGGCTTGGGAGAAGGGCCAGTGAGCAGAGTGTCTGTGTGCAAATATGATGGTCTCAGTTCAGATCCCCGGCACCCATGTAAAATCTGGGAATGGCAGTTTGCACCTATAACCTTAAGTGTTCTGGGGATTGAGACAGAGGGTCCCTGGAGCCCACTAGCCAGCAGTAGCCAGTATTTGAGCTCTGGGTTTAGGGAAAGACCCTGGCTAAAACAATAGAAAAATAGACTGTGATAGAGGTAGACACTTGACTTCAACCTGTCCTATCTATACATGGATGTACACAGGTATCATATATAAATACCCTCTACATGTGTAGACACACACACACACACTTTCTCCAGAAAAGGTAATGGCTGAGAAATTGAATGTTTGAATTTTTTTTTAGTTTATGCTGATGGATTCTAGAATAGAGTTACAAATTGGAAACTGCCCTCCCACATCCTGGAGCATTCTGACTACGGTCTCCAGGCTGCCACAGAGCAGAGCAGCCTGCTGCTATCTCACTACCTCCTTCTTGACTCTAGGTGACCAGTGCTTACCTGAGCCTTTTGTCCTAGAGCATTTTAGGTTTTGTTGTTTTAAACTCTCATCTGCATCTCTGTTCCTTCCAGTCGCTATAACAAAATGCTTTAGGCTAGGTTACCTATAAGAAACGTATATATTGCTCACAGTTCTTTTTTAAAATTATGTGTGTATGACGATTTATTTATTTTACATGTTAGTAACTGTAGATGTCTTCAGACACACCAGAAGAGGGCATCAGATCCCATTACAGATGGTTGTGAGCCACCATGTGGCAGGGAATTGAACTTAGGACCTCCAGAAGAGCAGTCAGTGCTCTTAACCGCTGAGCTATCACTCCAGCCTCACATATGTCTATTTGGAGACAAGTTCTCACTCTTAAGCCTAGGCTGGTTTTAAACTTGCAGCATTCCCCCTGCCTCAGCATCTCACATGCTGGGATTACAGGTATGTCCCCAGGTTACACATGAACTCAGTGCATACTTGCTGAAGGGAAGGTACAAGGCTCTTGAGACTGGGTGATATGGTTCCTGGAGATGGAGATAGGATGGTCTGATGCTAGGCACATTGGGACACTGGTGTCTGGAGGTGAAAGACAGAATGGCCCCCACATGGTAGTAGTTGGGAGGCAGGAGATCTGACCTCAGTGCTGCTGTTTCCTTATTTGTTTTTTGTTTGTTCATTTATGAGTTTTATAAGTCTCTCCCACAGTGTCTTAGTCAGGGTTTCTATTCCTGCACAAACATCATGACCAAGAAGCAAGTTGGGGAGGAAAGGGTTTATTCAGCTTACACTTGTACACTGCTGTTCATTACCAAAGGGAGTCAGGACTGGAACTCAAGCAGGTCAGGAACTTGAAGGCTGGAGCTGATGCAGAGGCTGTGGAGGGATGTTACTGGCTTGCTTCCTGTGGCTTGCTCAGTTTGCTTTCTTATAGAACCCAAGACTACCAGCCTAGGGATAACACCACCCACAAGGGGCCCTCCTCCCTTGATCACTAATTGAGAAAATGCCTTACAGTTGGATCTTTTGGAGGGATTTTCTCAACTGAAGCTCCTCTGTCTGTGATAACAACAGCTTGTGTCAAGTTGACACAAAACCAGCCAGTACACACAGCCTCAGTTTTCTTGACTGCAAAATGGGTAACTGGAGCTCCAGAGTCTGAGGGAAGCTTCTCCATTCTGATGTTTTTTGTTTGTTTGTTTTTTGTTTTTTTGTTTGTTTGTTTTATTTTGTTCAAGACAGGATTTCTCTGAGTAGCCCTGGCCGTCCTGGAACTCACTCGGTAGACCAGGCTGGCCTCCAACTCAGAAATCGGCCTGCCTCTGCCTCCCAAGTGCTGGGATTAAAGGAGTGCGACACCACCGCCTGGCCCATTCTGATGTTTACAGGCTCTGATTTAAACATAGTGGCTGTTGTCTCTTCCATGAATCTGGAGTGTTAATCCACCACACTGGTGACAACTTTCTGATGCCTTTTCCTATCTTCCAGCTCAAGGTGTCCCCAGAGGAGGTTAAGGACAACCCTGAAGACAGCTGTGCCTCTGAGTAAGTATGGGGAGGAGGTCCATGTTCTCCACGAGCCTGAAGTGCTTCCCTTCCAGCCATTTAAAGCCTTTCAGTCCACTGTCCACATGCCAGGGAGGCTCTCAACACATAGAGCTGTGCCCTCAAGGGGCATGAAGGGTGGGTTCAGAGCCTAGTACCCACAGCAGCTCTGAGCTTCCTCCTGACCTGACCTAGCTTCCAGGTTTCCTGGCTCCCTCCCTCCCTCCTTCCCTCATCTCCCTCCCTCTCTCCCTTCCTCTCCTTCCCTCCCTCCATCCCTCCCTCCCTTTCTTTCTCCCTCCCTCTCTCCCTGTCTTCCTTCCTCCCACATGATCTGGCTTCTCTGTGGCCACTCTGGACCCTTCAGGTTTGTTCAGACACACTTGGGTGTCTGGCTATATCCCAGGTTTTATGTGTAAAAACGTTCCTTTGCTGTAAGGACTTCACTGCTGCTCCAAAACAGTAAACAAAAAGAATGCACTTAAAACTCCTGCAAGTTTAACATGTGGCGATGCCAGGCTGGTGTCCCAGCCTTTAATCCTATCACTTAGGACACAGAGGCAGAAACAGAGGCAAGAGTTTCAGGCCAGCCTGGTCTATAGAGCAAGTTCTAGGCTACACAGTAAGACACTGTCTAAATAAACAAACAAACAATAAAAACAACAAAACTCACCCCAAACCCTGCAAGTAGTGTCCCAGGGCCTTTAAAACTCCTCAGGGGAGTAGTGGTGGCACACGCCTTTAATCCCAGCACTTGGGAGGCAGAGGCAGGCGGATTTCTGAGTTCAAGGCCAGCCTGGTCTACAGAGTGAGTTCCAGGACAGCCAGGGCTACACAGAGAAACCCTGTCTTGAAAAACCAAAAACAAACAAACAAACAAACAAAAACAACAACAAACAAAAAACAAAAAACAACTCCTCAGGGGCTGGGAACTGGCCCAGTGGGAGCTTGCTTGGCATGTGCAACACCATAGGTTCGCTGCTCGGTACAGAGATAAAATGGAGGAGGCAGCAAGATGGCTCCATAGGTAAAGGCACTTGCTACCAAGTCTGACAACCTAAGTTTAGCCTCCAGAACCCACATGATAGAGAGGGAGAACCCAACATCTGCACGCTGTCCTTCAACCTCTATTGTATGCCAGGGCACAAGCCCGTATACACATATGCACATGCATACACAAATAAGTAAATACACATAAACACACACACAGAAGAATCTCCTTAGAGTCCTTAGAGTGCACGGGACACAGCGCTGCTCTGTCAGACTCCTCTGCTGGTCCATGTCTCTCCTGCCCCTTCCTCTCTGAGTATCAACCTGCAGGGATATCAGCATCCATAGTGGGAGAGGAAGTGTGAGGCGTCTATAGCCACTTCACAGCCATCTTGGATGCCAACCGCTTCAGCTTTCACATCTACTAGTGCCAGGGGCTGGCAGGGGTAGGCCTAGAAGGACTTGTTCCTGATGAGGGTCTCCAGAATGGCAGGAAAGCCAACTTCCTGCACAGCTCCCTGGTTTGTTCTGAGGGTATGGTGGGCCCTTGTATTTCTTTCTCTCTGACAGTAGTCAGTAGAGACTCCAGAGGAACAGTCAGGAAGGGTAACCACTACCACTATTCCAGGCTTACAAGGCTACAATCAGCTCACAAGCAGTTACTCTGGCTCAGTCCCTCCTAAGTCTTCATCTCTGTATTAGACACAAGCGGCACCTTAGCCATCCATCCTCTGGTCTGTCTTGGGATGCAGTCCTTCCTGCTTACTGATGGAGACAGCAAGAGACTAATCTAGGGGCATACAGCTACTGTGCTTCAAAGGCAGCTGAGATCTGCCCTCCTCCAAAGCATTTGGGTGTTCCCCTTTGCTCCGTAGGTACAGTAGGAAAGGCAAATGCTTCAGCAGCAGCCAGATCTCCAAAGGTCAAGCAGCTTACCCAGGTCTCTCATTGTGTTTTGGGAGAAGTATACAGAGCCCTGGATGTGGTTCTTGGAGGGTCAGCTGGGAACCTCAGATGGGTCTGGGCATCCGACTTGTCCTGCTTCTCCCTCATCGCAGGAGGATGGTAAATATGAGTGAAGACGGTCATGTCTATGTGTTGAGTAGGAAAGAGATTCGGGTGTCTCCAGAGCAGAGGGTTTTGGTTCAGAGGGTTTAAGTGGTTCAACCACTTAAAGAACACTGTGGGTACTAGAGGAGATTGGAGTTTGAAGGTGACATCCACCTCTGTCTGCATTTCTCACCCACAGAGCCCCAGGCAGCAGCCCCAAGAGACCCGAGGGGCAGTCAGCCATCTCGTATGACTACTCTGAAGAAGAGCTCATGGCGAGCATTGAGCGGGAGTACTGCCGCTGAGCCAGATGAGCGGCCCTGGACACCACTGACCCTGCCTTGCAGGTCTGTGACCTGGGCTAGAGTCAAGGGCACCAGCTTGTCCTACCTGTGACCTAGCCGGAGGGGAACCACTTCTAAATACAACTATCTTTCCAAACTGATGTTTTAAGATTCACAGTTGTAAAAAAAGAAAAAAAAAAAAGAAAAAAAAAAAAGATTCACAGTTGTAGTCCTGCCGATAGCCTGGCAGACCGAGAGTGAGGGCAAGTAGGTACCAGGCCACAGGTGTGTGCGTACCTCCTCTTACTCTGACGGGTAGCCTGGCTGTGTGGTTCCCCTGAATTCTGAACTGTTTGTTTGCCCTACTTACTCCCTTTCCAGGTGGGGAAGGGTCAACGCCTCTTGGCATCTGTGCCATAGGCTTCTATAAGTTTCCACCAAAGTATGTTCTCAGCCTTCACACTAAGATTTCTCCAGAGGGATGCAGTTACCCCTAGATATGTCACTTTCCATGGGCATACAAAGGGCCCAAGTGCACGGATGGCAGGCAGATCCAGAACGTGTAGGTCTAGGCAGGTCCGGAGATTGCATTTCTGACAGCACAGAGGTATTGGCCAGCTGCAGGTGCAAGGACTCAGGGCCTGAGTGAATCTCTTGGCTTCTCCCTTCCGTGTGCTGGAGGCTCCTTCAAGCTACAGTGTAACAGCTTCTCCTGCTTGGATGTAGTAGGAAGAGAGAGGGCTGGGAACCAGACTGCTTTGGCATCCCAGGATTACATTAGCTTGCTATCATTTCCCTCTCTGGGCCTCTCAGTTTCTCTCTTGGGGAGAATCCTAGAGGTTCTCTGAGGTCTTTCAAGCCCGATCAGTTTGGCAGCTCTATCTTCCAGCCCTGCCATCTTCCAGGGCCCGTTGTGTTTTATCCATCATCCTGCTGAGCAAAGAGCTGCGTTGGAGCTGAGAGAGGGGATGCACGTAGGTCTTCATGGCAGCTGCTCTCCAGTTTCCCTTCTGGCTGGCAGTCTGGCTAACACCATGAGCCTCTTCTCCTTCTTCCTGCTTGGGTGGAAAGTAGTCACAGTAATGATGCCAAAGGGGACCTCAAACATTCCCAGTCGACAGATGGGAAAACAGAGGGAGCCTGTGGGAAGGAAGGGTTTGTGCGGTCCTGTAGAGCCTTGCTTGGTCCTGCTCGGTTGTGAAAGCACCTGACCAGCTGGTAGGAAGGGTCTGTAGATCTGTGAGTGGAGGGACAAGCCCACATCTCTGCAGTCATCAGGGTAGAGTGTTATTGAGACCTTAAGGCTGGATAGTGAGTTCAAATCCAGCCTGGACTATGTTGTGAGAGTCTGTCAGAAAAGGAGGTAGAGAACTGGGAAACAATGGCAACTTTTGCTAAGGTCAAAGCAGGTCTTGGCTTATGTTGCATCCCTGGACCAAGGCAGTGCCTTCACCAGCATCTTCCCTCTCCTGAGAACAGCTGCTAGCCCAGGAATCCTCAGAACACAACCTATAGTATCTCAGGAACCAAGGAAGAATGGTCACTGAGACTGTCCCCACACCCACAGTCCTTTGCTGTCACCTGCAAATGATTCCATGAACTCATGACTTGACAAGAATGCCTTTGAGTACTCAACTGGGAGATGTGTGGTACAGTCGGAGCCCAGAGCCATGGAGTGCCTACCAGTCGGCTGAGGGTTGGGTCAAAACCTCCCAGAGCTAGCAACTGTATCTTACTGGAGCCCAAAGGACTGCTTTTGCTATGAAAATGAAAGCTGTTTCTATTTTAATAACACAAATATTAAAAATACTTATTTTAAAAGAGGTTAAAAATGTTCCTTTTTTTTATCGAAGGATGGTTCAGGCTTTGAACTTGGTGTTGTAATATTTACAGCTGTTATGCGTTTGTTCCAATAGGGACATTCATCTGATTAAGGGGAAGATGGGGGATAAAAGAGAGAAAGACAGTAGCCCCGTGTTTCCCGAGGAAACCCTTAATGAGATCAAGGTGCTAAGATAGAAAGAATACATCCCACTGAAGTTAACATTCACAAACATGAAGTGTGCACCTTCTGAAACCTAAGAAGCCACTGCTATTCTCAGATCTAAAGGAAAAAACCCAAGCCAAACAAAACCCTGAGTTCCAGAAAAGATCTACTGAGCAGTGGCTAGCCAAACCACGTGTGTGCCAACGGATGAGCTGTGGCCCTGGGAAACTCAGGCTCCAGAGAGGCTGCAAGAGGCAGGGTTGGGTATTATTGCGGCCTACAGGAGCGTTTCCTGTCCTGCCCAGGTACCAGGTATCCACCTATGTCCCATACTGCACAGCTGCCTCATGGTTGGCTACCCACGTTGCTTTCCCAGACATATGCCCAGCCATAAGTAATCAGAGGGTGGGGTCTGCCCACATAAAGCATAAACTGACCTTGGTTCCCACGAGGATCTCTGGAACCAGAGATGGCCCCTGGCTCTGCAGCAGATCTGCCTCAACATGTGTGAAGGCTGTGTTTGAGAAAACCAGAGCCCCTTCTGGTCAGAAATCATGGGTAGGCTTTCTGACAGAGGGGCAGAGCCTTGAGAAGCTTCCAGGCCCGCTCTTGTGTCCATGGGGTCTTGGGTCAGCTTGGCAGGGGCCTCCCCCATCAGCAGGGCCTGGCACAAAGTTTCAGCACCTTTCTTTTGTCGATGTTCCAAATTTCCCAGAGCCATTTCATTTCCTGGAACTCCTGCCTGGGAGTCCCATCCCTGGTAAATTCTGGGATTCATGAGTGGATGACACTGTCCCCCTGACAGAGCTTCCCTCCTCACTGATTTGCACTCTGGAGACAAGGTGTCTATGAGCAGCAGCCAGGCCAGATGGTTGAGTGTCAGGTCCATGGGGTATTTTGCCTCCTGTCAAGAGTTGGGCAGAAATAAAATGTATATTTTTAAGGGTCAGGGAGATGGCTCAGCTGCCAAGTCTGACAACTTAAGAGTTCCATCTGCAGGGCCCAGTGGTAGAAGGAAAGTACCAATTCCTATAGGTTATCCTCTGACTCCCACACACATGGCATACATGCAGTTACACCACATTCACTGTCTGCCTCTGGGGCTGTGGGGCTCAGGAGTCCTCTTCAGTTAGGAACTGTTTTCCAACTTTAGTCTTTCAGTAGACACATGGTGGGGGCTCTTTCACAGGAGGGGTTCTTCCAGACTCAGGAAGACTGTGCTTAGAAGATCATTGGACATGGTTAGGAAGGTGTCCTTGGGTGATTCTGGGCATTAAGAGCATAAATCACATTTTATTTTAAGGAGTTTTATTGTTAACTTAATATTTGTGTATGCACGTAAGCATCCGTATGTGTGGTACATGGATGTTCAGGCTGTGGTGCACGTGTGGAAGTCAGAGGACAATTTGCAGGAGTTAGTATTCTCTTTCCACCAAGCAAACTCCAGTCCCCAGGCTTGGTGACAGGTGCCTTTACCCACTGACCCCTCCTGCTGACCCATAAATCACATATTAGACTCTGAAGGTTAGTTGCCTCCTCTAGAAAGGAGGCTCTATAATTAGGCAGAGGCAGGTGGATCTTTGAGTTCAAAGCTAGCCTAGTCTACAGAGTGAGTTCCAGGACAACCAGGGCTACACAGAGAAACTCTTTCCAGTGCTGGCAAGGAGGAGTTGCCCTCTCTAGGCCACGGGGCCCTGGGAAAGACAGAAAAGCACTTAAACCCCAAGAAGTAGTTGACTCATAGCTTGCACCTCAAAATTGCTGGTGATTCAGGATGAGGTCCCACAGGAGACTGGAAGGATAGGTCCTAAAACCGCACATCCAGAAACTGAAGTGCGTGGTTGCTTGTGGTACTGGGGTCAGGTTTGGCTTCCCAAGGTCAGTTTCAACTCTCAATGGTAACACCATGTGGTCTTGAGAGACGCACTAGCTGTCTGGAAAGGCCAGAAGTCCAGCTGGAGGCTAAGAAACCACCCCCAAAGGTTATGCTAATTCTTGGGGAAGGAGACCACCAACAGGGAAAGAAGGGGGTGTTACCTTCTCCCCCATCTGCCAGGGCATCTGGGTCAATGTGTAGAGTCCAGGACAACCAGGGCTACACAGAGAAACCTTTTCCAGTGCTGGCAAGGAGGAGTTGCCTTCTCTAGGGCATGAGGCCCTGAGAAAGACAAAAGCACTTGAACCCATGGAAGAAGTTGGCCCACGGTTTGCACCTCAAAATTGCTGGTGACTCAGGATGAGGCATATATGAAGCTCCTATTGTTTTTAGACTACTTACAATCCAGATTACTGCAAGAGCAATTCCTCTTGTGGAATGTCTATGGCAGACAAGAGGACACAGTCCATGCCAGGCTTAGTGTGGCCAGGCCCTGGACAAATAAGCAAGAGAGGTAAGGTATATTATGTGTCCAGGAGGCAGAGATAGAAGGGTAAGTCTCAGACACTCATTAGGAAGGGTGGCTGTCTGCATTCACACCCAGATGACCCCAGGTCAGTCCCTGTCTACAAGAGCCCAGGAGCAACAAAAAAGACCTCACCCTGCTCCCCAGCACATGGTCTCTTGGGAACAATGGAGTCCATGTCTTTAGCCTCCCAAGGTTATGGTGGGGCTGGATTGATGCGTCTACTGCATCACATAGTCCAGCATGATGTCAAGAGGTGGGGGAGGGCGGACACACAGGGAATCTTGTCCTGACCCTCGCTGTGGATGGCTAGTACCGTGGAGATGGAAGCCAGTCTCCACTACTGTGAGGCAAACTTGGAAGAGCTATTATATTACTACTGTTATTTGAATGTTCAAACCGCCACAACTTGGCTGCAAAGATCCTTATGGATTGAGTTCTTTGCCACTGTATTGCTTTCTGTGAAACTGACTAGACCACCCAAAAGAAGAGTTTAAGTTAGGCTAATACATAATGAATCGTCCAGACGCACATGAACACAGTTATACACACAGCACTCAAGTCTTATCTGCGAACCAAGAAAGTTTTATACGATTCAAAGAAAAAAAAGTTACATTACACATATTCATTTAAATAAGCCAAAGTCTGTTACATAAAACAAAGGTAGTTAACATTTAAATTTTTATTACTAAAACTACTGAAAGGCTCAACAAAGTAAAAAAAAAATCAAATCAAGAAGAACTTCTCAAGCGATAAAGTGCACTGGGGTCACCACCACATTGTGGGAGTCAGGGAGGGCCCTCAAGGGAGCATCCACTCCTGGGGCTCTGGGGCTCAGGAGTCCTTTGCAGATAGGAACTGTTTTCCAACTTAGTCTTTCAGTAGACAAATGTTGGGGACTCTTTCAGAAAAGGGGTTTCTACATCTAATTAGGAAATGGAAACCTAATGGTATTTCAACACATCCGTCATTTAGAAACAATACTGGTGAGAGAAAGTTCTGTGATGAGGGACCAGACACTCCAAGGCCTTCCATTACCCACAGAAATGCCAGGACAAGGGACATCACTCTGCATGTCACAACGAAAAAAGACATCCAAACTGGATGCCATTTTTCACTTACACGGTCACCAGTGTGGATGCTGACTTAAGACAGGAGGACAGGACCAGGGTGCTGGGACACACGTTAGCTATATACAGTTAGTTCTCCTGCACTCCATTACGCTGAAAGACAATAGCAACACTGCCTGGAGAGCTGTCTGGACAGTTCCTAAACACATGTACATACAGAACTCGGCTACCAAAGGCAGCTTAACAAGGATCAAGTAACATACAATGTATGACCACGTAATGGTTATATAAGGCTCAAAGACCTGAACACAGAAACCTCATTTTATCTAGCTGTTTAGTATTTCAACCTTGCATCATTTAATAAAGTTAAATGCCAACCATTAAAAGGCAAATACAAAACCTAATACATACCACACAAAAATATTCTCAGGGTGCCCAAATGGCACAATACACCTGTTCTCATACTTACTACTGTATTGCCTGAGCTTCCCAAAATTTAACTAAAACCATTTTTTGTGATCACCCGGATGCAGGATACAGGCTCACGAGGCGTAAAAGCAGTGTCCGAGATCTGTTTTCAGGTAAGCTACAAAATCCCCATTTCAAGTCTTCTTATTTGAGCAAAATCATTTTCTTCACACATAATGACTGGAAAAGCAGTTGGGTGGCAGCCACTGCCATTTAGTGACACATTTCTTAGTGTTTTGTCCATAATAAGAAAGGCATCCAAACCCCAGAGCCGACTGTGCACAAAGGCCTTGCTTTGTGGAAGTTGCACTCTGTGGGAAGTTTAGCCAACCAATATAGACATTTCCTTTTCTCTGTGTGGTCATTCAATCCAGCATGCAGTACAAAACCACAACAGAACGGGCAACCTACAAAGTTTCTGCGTCTACATTCTTGGTTTTGGTGCATAAGTACAGACAGGACACGGGATCATTTGCTCTTAGCAGACAAGACAGATGGCCCAGAAGTCAACATTCCACATTTGGCCCTGCTCAGATGGCCAGCAGCCCAGGCAGACCTGGGCACGTCCTCCACAGGGACGTCAGACTCACATGATTAGTTCTATCCAACCACAATTTTTTAGTTCTGTAAGCTACAGGATCAATTGCTAGAATTTCCCCTGAAACTGATATAAAGAAGCTAACTACAAAGTTTATTTTTCCCCTTTAAGAGTTCTTTATTTAACCAGATCTGATCTAAAACATTCACTATAAAAGGCTGGTAACAAACTTGTTATTTTGTTTCTTTCTGACTAACTACCAGGCTTACTCTTAAGCAGGGTTATTACAAAACTTTGTTATAAAACATGGAAAAGAAGGCTGTAAAACTGTCTATCCACAAATTGGTGATTTGAGCACAATATAAATATTTTTATAAAAAGTATAAAAATTAGTACCCTGTCACATTTCTACAAAACATGAATAGAAAGGTATAAAAAAAAAGTCCAGATTTTGTAAACTTTATTGCAGAAATATTTGAGTGCTGGTGATTTAGATCAAATTTTCTTCCATTTCCTTACAAAAGAGAGACACACACACACACACACACACACACACACACACACACACACAGAGATAAACACAGAGACAGACAGAGTTCTGAAACTACAAAAGATATTGAACAGGGTCCCAACCAGAAAAGTAAAATTAATATACTTCCATCAGAACCAGCTCCTCACTTCAACAGCCCAGAGACCATGTTTATTTTTGGAGAGGAACACACAGGTTCCATTCCTGAAGAGGCTTTCGAAGAAGCCCACAGGTGATGGATGCCACAGAGGACCCCTCAGCCAGAGGCTGGCAAGGGTTCAAGGATGCTCCCGGGGCTCTCTGCCAAGGTGATTCTGTTCAGCTTGCCCACCTCTGCCTGCCAGCCTGGGATCTTCTTGGTTGTCATGTGGCGACGAGCATGCTTTGTCAGGTGGTCACTCCGCATGAAGCGCCGGTCACATACAGGACACACAAACTTCTTCTCTCCAGTGTGAGTTCTGCGGTGTCGAGACAGTTCATCTGACCTTGCAAACTTTTTGTCACAGCCGTCCCAGCTGCAGGTAAAAGGCTTCTCCCCTAGTGGAAGGACATTGCATTAAAGTAAATGTGCACACTCACTGATAAATCCACGAGTGCTGCCCACAGGTCTGTTCATCAAACGGCAGAAGACTAATACTTGCTGTTCTAGCCCTGGGTGGCTCACAACTCAGCCAACCCTCCACAATGCATTCCTAAGCCCATGGGTATCAAATTAGGCTAATCTCTCAAAAAATTAACACGTACACATGCATGTTGCTTCACAGAGACTCATGGTGTAGCCTAGGCTGGCCTGGGACTTGTAATCTACTTAAGTGTTGGAATTACAGGCATGTGCTACCATCCCTGGCTTTGAAGAAGCATTTTAAAATAAAGACAAATCTACTATACTTGGGGAAGACTTTTTTTGAGACAAGGTCTCACTATGTAGCCATGGCTGGCCTGGAACTCCTTAATCTCATAGAGATCTGTCTCTGCCTCCCAAGTACTGGGGTTAAAGGTGTATCCAACATCCTGAATATTTTTGTCTTTGATAGGGTCTTGGTTAGTATAGCCCAGGCTATCTGAGAACTTGAGAGATCTTCCTATCTCTGGAAAATGCCTTTTTTTTTTTTCTTTTTTTTTGAGACAGGGTTTCATGAAGGCCAGCCAGGCCAGCCTCGAACATGCCATGTAGCAGGAAGGACACTGAAGTTGATTCTCCTAACTTACCTCTTAAGTGCTAGGATTACAAGTGTGTACCACCTTCCTCAACTTTACATGCTAGGGGTTAACCCTGGTGCGTCATGCATGCTAGGTAGGTACTCTACCAGCTGACTACCATCCACAGATGTGGGAGAAAAATTCTTTAAAGAAATAATTCTTTCTTTAAGGACAAACTGCACATACCCTAAAAAGTCCTTCTAAGGGGCTTTAAGATTTTTTAGAATCATTGGTTTCTGTCCACATTTTTTATTACACTGACAAACAGGTTGCATCAGTTACTTTCCGTGGTGCTGACAAAAGCTAATTAAGGAAGTGCTCATTCTGGCTCAGTCTGAGGAAAGTATGGTGGGGGGAGCTTGAGGCAGCTGGTCATACTTTGTCCATAGTCCAGAAGCAGAGAGAAACGAAATCAGGTGCTCAGCTTGCTTTTCTTCCCTTTATCCAATCCAGAATCGCAGTTAATGTGGGTCTCCCCACTTCAGTTAACCTAATTAAACCTTCTCCCTCAAGGCCCAGTCCAGTCTACTAGGTAATCCTGGGTCCTGTCACGCTGACAATGGCAATCAATACCAAGGCTTGTGCTCTATTTCTTTTCTTTTTTTCCTTTTTTCTTTTTCTTTTGTTTTTTTCTTTTTTCTTTTTCTTTTCTTTTTTTTTTTTTTTTTTTTTTTTTTTGAGACAGGGTTTCTCTGTGTAGCCCTGTCTGTCCTGGAACCAGGCTGGCCTCGAACTCAGAAATCCACCCGCCTCTGCCTCCCAAGTACTGGGATTAAAGGCGTGCACTACCACTGCCCAGCTTGTGTTCTATTTCTAATAGACACTTTCTTGTCAGAAGCTCTAGAGCAAGTGCCTCAGAGTCATATTATCTTCCTGGAGTTATGAAGGTAGTGAATCCTTCAGGCAGAAAGTAGACCCTTTTCAACAAACTCCCGTTCCAGCCAGCATGGGACCAGGCCCTTCTCTGTATCCTGAAGCCTCCGTCCGCCTTCCTACCTGACTATGGCAATCGTGGACTGCATGCTTGAGGGATGATTTGTTAGACAGCTACATACTGCTATGCGATCTGTCTCCATTGATTTCCCTTAGCAGGTACCAAGAGACACCAATTCTGATAGATCTGAGTTGAATTAACAGAAACTCCAGCAGCAAGGCTTCGTTTCCTGTGGATTTCAGAATCTTCCACGTCAAGGCAAGGTGGCTGATGTGGCTTGACTATGACCCCAAACTTCACACCTTGGAAATGTAATTCTGAAGTCATACATCACTGATACTTAAGAGGTAGTAGGATCACTGGTCACTGACTGGGTCCTGAGCATTGGAATTACAGGTTAACAGAGTCCCAATAGTGGCCTTGTTAGGAAAGCAAGCTCTCAGGCATACTAACCCTGTTGCACTAGATGATATTCTCAGCCACACTGGGAAGATCTTACAGATAACTGAGCGACACAACTTTTAGACTCTCAGCTCCAGAGCCTGGAGCTTGGTGGACTATTCTGTATCACTGTCTTAGATACCATCAGAACATCAAAAAGCAGACCCAGACAGCTGCCCTTCTTACCCCTGCTCTCCTAAGGTTAGTAGCATACACAGTGCCCAGGAGTTGCAGAGAATGCCAGCCCCTTGGCACACGATTTACAAAATTCCTTGTATGCAGCCAAAATGGTGTACCCATTCATCTGACCTTATTCATTTAAATATTGTTCAGGTTTAAAGAAATACTTGAAACATAATCTCAAGCAAGCCTACCTGAATTTTCTGTGCTTAGGAAGACTCTACGGAGGGTTGGTGAGTGGCAAAAGCCGCGGTCTCCTTAGAGCCTCACACTTGCTTAAACTGAACTTAGTTCTCTGGGAAGCACAGAAGGAACTGGATTGATCTCAGGTTTTGTGAGTCTGTCAGTATTTCTACCTAGGGAAACTGAGCAAACACAGAAACCCTGTCACCTCTCCAAATCTGCCATCTGTGCTCTGATGTAAAGTTCATCTGGATAGACCAAGCAAAAAATGGGGGTTTACCATACCAAAGAGCCCATGTGAACACTCCAGGTTGCTCCTTCATCTGACACAACTACCAGAACAACCTTGCTAAAGGCGGTTGGCCATCATTTACGAGTGTGACACCAGGAATTCACATCCAGTTTAGCTAAGTAAGTGATGATAAAGCAGGGGGGAGGCTCCATGATTTATCGTGCACACTGCTCTTGCAGCACACCCACAGCAGATGTCAGGACTCACAGAGGCAGCTTACAATCACATGGAACTCCAGCTCCAGGGGTCACATCCACAGGCCCCTGCGCTCACATGCACATACCCACATACTGAGACATAATGGGCAGTGGTGGCACACCCCTTTAATCCCAGCACTCAGGAGGCAGAGGCAGGTGGATTTCTGAAGTCAAGGCTAGCCTGGTGTATAGAGCAAGTTCCAGGATGGCCATGGTTACACAGAAAAAAAAGCTGTCTTAAAAAAACCAAACCAAAACAGAAATAGTAGCAGTAGTAATAGTGATGATGATGATAATAAATCCTAAAATTGTAAAAACAATGCAGAAATGAAGAAACATAGGAAACGGTGGTAAGACACACAATAACCCACGGGGTCAAAGAGGACGAATATCAACAAACACTCAACTGATGTGGGACAGGCCCTGAAAGGATCAATAGGCAGAGCCTGGAGAGGGCTGAGGCTGACTATGGAAATGGCAGAGAGATGAGGACAAAGGAGCCTGTGTTAGCCCTGACAAGGAGACAAGTCCAGGACAGCTGTAAGGTCTGCATCCTAAAGCCAACCTCAGCGCTGGCATACGAGGAACAATTCTATCTGGAATGTCTGCACACCAGGCTGCACACCATTCTGAAGTGGAGTCTGCCACAGCCAGAGTACACTGTGTTAATTAGAAGCCAGCTTGTATCAACCTAGCTTGAAATAAAAAACCACAGCAGGAACTCTTTCCAGGCCTTTCCTGGATCGTAGTCCTCGATCCAGACATCCTAATGGGACCAAGGGGTGAAGTTTCAGGGTTGAGGTGAGGAAGCATGCTTTCCTGAATGTGCTTACATGTAAATACGTGATTCTCTAAAGTCAGGTTTAACATGAAGACTAGACTATGTAGCCACGGGACCATTTAAAAATGCCAGACACATCAACTCACAGAGCACCTAAGAAATGCTTGTGCTACTCTACCAAGTGATTCCTGCCAGGAGGCGCTCAGTGGCCCTGATGAACAGCATGACAGTCACCAGATCATGAAGCTGTGAGTATAAAACATCAACTAATGAGTTCTCAGTCCGACCAGCCCATTTCAAGTGCATATGGCTAGTGGGTACCCTAATGTAATGGCCAAAGAATGTTTAAGAAATAAGCTCAAGTTATTGAAACTTCTTGTGCGACGTCTTAACATAAAACTATAGTCTCAAAAGCAAAATCAAACAACAAAAATAAAGGCAAAACCCCTACACTCTTACAACACTCTACAGTATGAACTTTGATGGTCTGAACAGACGTCCAAGTCACAGTGATGTTTTTACTGATGCCTACTGGAGTAAGGTGAAGAGTACCCTAAAGTCATCACAAACCCCCGTCCTCTCCTCCAGCAAGTACCTGCCTCTCTTAAAGGAGGCTCAGGGAGCTTTCCTCCCTTGAAGTGTGCTTCCATCACATCAGGCACCCCATTGTAGAAAGACTATCTCATGGCTATGGATATGGTACCTGTCAATAACCAATCTGATGGCCTACGGTTTAGGTAGGAAACAGGAGGTCAGACATCTGGGATGAGAGAGAATTCTGGGAAAGATCCAGGCAGAAGATTCACCTGGGAAGATCTACTATATTCTCCGGCTGTTAGGGAAGCCACTAGCCACCCACACTTAGACTGAGCTGCTTTCACAGAGAACTGAACTGCACATCCTCATTGGTGGCAGTAGACATGGTATCAGAGCACAAGTAATCAGCCATGTGGCAGAATGAAGGTGAAAATGATTGGGTCCTTTTAAGTTACATCTAGTCAGAGTAGCGCTTAGCTATATGGTCATGGTATTTGTAGGTATATTTTGAGTCTGAGTCTTATTTCTGGGAGCATGGGGACGGGAGGAAGACCCAAACTTAATTTCTATGCCCTACCACTTACCTGTGTGAGTGCGAAGATGAGCTTTAAGGTGGGAACTTTTGAAGTAGGTCTTCCGGCAGCCTGGGAAATGGCAAACATAGTTCCTCCTTCGGGAAAAGTCTACCTGAGGGGCACAGTTCTGGCTGGAGGCAACGAACACTGGTGCAGGGGCAAGGGGCAACAGCTTGGTATTTCCAATGGCCATGACACTGGATGGACAGGCAGCAGGCTGGGGGAAGGTGCTCTGCGGCAAGACCAGCATCACAGTTCCCTGAGGCACAGGCGGGCCCATGAACACAGGCTGAGACAGAGAAGCAGCTTGGGGTAGGATGGGCTTGACAGTCCCTGCAGGCAACTGGGTAGGCGGCTTCAAAAACGCTGAGAACATGCCATTCTGTCCAGCCACAGGGATCACCTGGCAAAGGACAGGGGGACTGGAGACAGGGACAGAAATAAGAGGGGTGGTTTTTCTTGACAAGTCACTGTCAGGATTCTTTGGTAAGCAGGTCTGAACAGCAGCGGGCCATCCTGTCTGTTGGCCTTTGTCAGTGGGGAACGGGCCACCAGCGTTGTGCAAGCAAGGCTGACAGGAAACCAAGCTAGTGACGAGTAAACCACCTGCCAGGCGTGTGTCCTGCAAGGCTTCGAGGTGGTCCAGCAAGCGTTCCTGTCCTTCTCTGCTGTCAGATGCTTGTTGCTCTTGAATTGGCCCAGTTGGAAAGCATGTGGGAATAGGACTCTCTCCAGTGTGACGGATCACACTTGTCATCACAGCCCTGCAGGAGGACCCTGAGGCTGGCTCCAATGGTTCCCTCTTGCTCAGTGTTCTGGGGCCCCCAGTAGGGGATGGGGAGATGGCAGTGACCATGCATCCTTTGGAATTAATTACTTGGGAAGGAACAGGGGTTCCTGTTGACAGCTCCGTGAGCTCTGGGCTCTGAGGAGGAGTTATACACTTTTTAAAATAAAAAGGGAAAGAAAGAAAAGCACCACGTCAAAGGTTGTTTTGGTCAAAAGAGCTGCAAGGAAATTATCTGACTGTACTGCTCCCACTGCCTGCGGCGAGGACTGTGCTGAGCTGACCCAAGGGGTCTCTGGGGATCCTGCTGTTCCCACTTCTCCCCATATGGACTGTCCCTTCCCAACCATGCATATGTCTTGTTGGAAGGAAGGGTGGCGTCTACCCTAGGACATGCATAACTACTGAAACAAGCAATTTAACTAGACAGACTTCAAAAAGAAAACAGATTCATACTTTAAAATAAAAGCTCTTAGCTGGGCAGTGGTGGCGCACACCTTTAATCCCAGCACTTGTGAGGCAGAGGCAGGCGGATTTCAGAGTTCGATGCCAGCCTGGTCTACAGAGTGAGTTCCAGGACAGCCAGGGTTATATGGAGAAACCCTGTCTCGGAAAAACGCTCCCAGCAGTTCCTCAGCCCCTCACAAAGGACCAAGCCTGAAAACCTGAGGGGCTACCATGAGGTCCCCCCATTTCCTCCAGTCCTTATTACCACCTACTCCTCCAGGTATACCTTCCCTACACTTCTCCAGTTCAAGCCCCCAGCCTAGGCAGTCAGCTCTCAGCTTTTCTATTGCTTGCAACTTACAGTCTGACTTCTCCAGCCCACGAAGCACTATCATTGGTGGTGTAAGTTAAAACCTAAAAATAAAATACTGATTTACCAACTCCAAATTATACTAGTTGGCTGTTACGAGAAGGCAGAGGTGACATGTCTCCACTAGGCTAAAGACTGTCTGATGTCAGAGTACATGTGTTCTTGTTTCCCACAATGCCTCATTCTAGTCTGGGACAACTCAAGATCCTATCTTAAGACTCCCAGAAAGCCTGCATAATCCACCTTTCTGCAACACCTACAGGCCTCATCCCTGAGCATCTGTCAGCAAGTTATGACCCACCACTAAAAAGAAAACACTTTTTTTTTTTATTTTTTTCGAGATAGGGTTTCTCTGTGTGTAGTCCTGGCTGTCCTGAAACTTACTCTGTACACCAGGCTAGCCTCGAACTCTCGAACTCAGAGATCTGCCTGCCTCTGCCTCCCAAGTGCTGGGATTAAAGGCGTGCGCCACCACAGCCCGGCAAGAGAACACTTTTAAGAGAGGAGTTTTTTAGCCAGGCAGTGGTGGCACACACCTTTAATCCCAGCACTTGGGAGGCAGAGACAGGCGGATTTCTGAGTTCGAGGCCAGCCTGGTCTACAGAGTGAGTTCCAGGACAGCCATGGCTAGAGAGAAACACTATCTCGAAAAAAAAAAAAAGAGAGAGAGAGAGAGAGGAGTTTTCACACTTTGGCATCCGTCCTGACCAGCATCATTTTTTAATCTCCTTACAAGTTTTTCAGCTTATTCTACCTAAGCTATTCTAGGCAGTTCACAAAAATACTTCTCTCCCCCACCTCCTCTTACCAGAGTTGAAAAAGAATGAAAGTCCTTTGGTAGATCAGGTGCAGTTGTGTCCATAAGCACAGCAGTGGTGACATCACCAGAATCGGACACAGGCGTGAGGGGTCTCATCTGGGACCTTTGACCCCAAGAACTCATGCAAACAAGGGCCTCTACGGCTTCGATGTCTGTCTGCTCCAGGAGGCTGCACGTGGACCTTTCGCTGTCATGCCGCTTCCTCTCCAAGATTGACTCACAAATGCCCATGATGTCAGCCTAAAGGCGGCACAGCACAGTGGCGTCTCAGTTCAGGAGAATAAAGGGATGGTTACCCTGACAGGCATGCGGATCAACCACAGACATGTGCAGCGCCCTTAACAAAGCAACAAACGCTGTCTTGGAATAAAAAGACCCGAATGGGACTCTCAAGACAACTTGGTTTTCAAGCTCTGAAGACTGGGCTTGGTTGAGAAACAGTTTCCGCAAAAAAACAAAAACCCCTGATTCTTAAAAAGGTTTCAAGCCTGGGCTCAATAGCTTAATGGCTGAGTACCTCATGCATGACCCTGCAGTCAATCCCCACAGCTGTGAAACAGAACAGTCACTAACTCCAAGCATCTCTTGGCTAACTGCTGAAGACTAACTCTAGAGGCAGACACCAAAGTGGTAAGTAGGAAGGTGTCCTGGGAAAGATAAACAAAGCAGCAAGTGAAACCAAGCAGCTAGTTAGTTGGTGGGTGAGATCTTCTAGCTCCAAAGGCCCAGACTAGTGTCCCTAAGAAAGGAAGCATTACCCCAAGCTTAATTCCCAGTGGCTGAACCTAGGCTCCATGCAGGCACAGTCCACAGGGACTGCCGCTTGCTTCCTCAGCAGACTCAGAAACAGTAAGTCACTTGTTACTACTGAAAACTAGGAGGTCAGATGAAAGGAACAGCATGGGAAAGGAGTGGGGAGGAAGGAAGGGATTGGAACCCATCCTTTCCAAAAGAGAAACTTAAACCTACAGACACATATTTTCTGAGCTGGAAACTTCCTGTCTGTCCAGATCCCCCTTCAGTGAGCAGATGAGGAGAGTACCTTTGCAAAGGGGCTTATCCAGTGTCATGGAGGCCAGACAACCTCCTGGGAGAATATTTTGATTTTGACCCACTAAGTGGAATGTCCAGCCTCATACTAAGAAAGGATGTGTAGGGGCCCCTGAGTCCATGTACTGCTGTGTTCTCCACAGAAACCCGCGCTGCACCACTTCTCCGCCCCCCCCCCCCCATTTCTGCCAGGTTCTGTTGCTCCTCACCCTACACATTCCGACAGAGGTCCCTGCCATGACTCCACTCAGTCCCTCGGCCCAAGCCTAACACTCCTGCCAAGTTACCACACCCCTTCTCGATTAGACCCCAACTCCTGCCCAGCCCTACCCTTACAAGCCCACAAAACTTGGCTGACACACCTCCTGGAACCACACTCTTGCACACCTGCCTATCAAGATACACTATTGCCTTGCTCCCACTCATTCTATCATAACCCCCTCCAGGTACTCTTGCCACACCCTCCTGAGACACCTTTAGTTTGGCTCCACCTACAGCCCCTCCCTCTACACGCCCACCAGATGCTCTCACCACACTCCCTCCCTTTGGCTTACCCTTTGCCCCGCCCCTAGATAAACACCCACCAGTTCTCACTAAGCACTCTTACATTGGCCCTGCCCCTCAGTTCCACCGGAGGCTCTCACCAAGCTCTCTACCTTTGGCTCTGCCCTTACCCCACGCTTATGCTACTGCCGGGTGTTTCCGTGCCCTTCGCCTTGGTCCCGTCTAGCTCCCCATATCTCCTCCAAGCACTCTTGCCCACGCCCTTGCTTTGGCCCCGCCCCTACACAACTAGCGGCTCTCACCACGCCCCCTCATGCTGCGCCCCTGCTTTGACTCCGCCCCTGCCCCGCCCCCAAGTTCCCGCCAGCCGCGCCCCCAACCAACAGCGGTCCTCCTCTGGATTCGGGTGACGTCATGGCTGGAAATAGCCGCGCCGGGCGGGGCCGCAGCGGACAAGAGACAAAGCTGAAGGCTGGCTGCAGCGCTAACACACCCCCTCCCCACCCCGACCCGGCCGAGCCTTCCAGTCCCCGGCCCGACCACAGCACAGCCGCAGCCCCCACCGCAGCGAGGAGTCGCCATCCCTCCCGCGTCCCCCCGTCTCGTCCCGCGCTCAGCCCCGTCACTTACTGCGCGCGCATCGCCCGGATCGGTGGAGCCCGGCGAGTGCATGGTGCCGTACAGCCTGCAGGCAGCAATGCTGCGAGGCAGGAGCTCTGCGTGAGACGGAGGCTGCACGTGTGCAGCGCTCCGCGGTGTCCCGAGCGTCTGTTCCTAGCGCGTACCTCCGCCTTCCTTGCCGCGCGGTTCTGCCTCCGCGCGGCCCGGGAGGGGCGGGGCGCCGCGGAGGGAGCGGTCCTGGGCGGGGCGCGCGGGCAAACCAAAATACACCGCTCCCTGCTGGGGGCGTGCCCTCTGCCGCCAGCCAATCGACGCCGGGCCGGTAAGAAGCGGGCCAATGGGCGCCGCGGGGGGGCGCGTGATCGGAGCCTGGCTGCGGCGTGATCCGTCGGGGCGGGAGGCGGCACGTGTTTTGGTCCGGGCTAGAGGCGGGGCGTGAGGCCTGGAAAGTAGGGGAAAGGTCCCGGCGGCGGCGCGGCGGCAGTCGACCGCAGTAAGGTCCTCTCGAGCCGCAGGGGCCACTCGCTGAGGTCGCGCGCTGGCCCCACGCAGTGGACGGATCTGGTAGGCAGGACCCACAGGGACGGCCTCACCCTGTCTCTGATTTCTTTTAAGCTGTCTCTGGCTCTTAGGACCGCACCTCTGCCCAGGAAGAGGCTTGAAAGCTGCCTGGGTTTAGGGACCACATCCGCTCTTTCCTGCATGGCGCCAGATCAAAAGCTCTTACTACTCTAATCTGCTGTCTGATACAAAAGGACCACAGCCGTGTCGTCAGCCTCCTGACATGTACCTAATGAAGCCTGCGTGTCCTCCCCAGTGGCCATACAAAGGCCACCCACTTGGGGAGTCCTCAGGCCTACGTGAGAGCTGACCCATTTTTCCCTTTGGGTCTTTAGGTGTGGTTATTTATGTACATTCATCACAAGACTTGGAGAGCAGGGGTCATGCATGGTGTATGTCGTGCCCCCCCTACAGTGCAGCAACAGAACACCCCTCTATTATCCCCCTGACGCCTCACTGCAGAACCTTGAAACCAGTGGCGATATGGGAAAGATCATAGCTGATATGAGTAGACAGAAGTTGGGCATTATACCTCCTATTTTTATCAGGTGAGCAGGCAGGCAGAGAGTCCTGTCTTTAAGCTGGTAAGGCCTAACTAAGGTTTATAGCAGCCCGGATTCCTCAGTTTCACACTGGCTTGACTGGATTAAGTAGGAGTTTTGTTTGTTTGTTTTGTTTTTCGAGACAGGGTTTCTCTGTATAGCCCGGGCTGTCCTGGAACTCACTCTTTAGACCCGGCTGGCCTTAAACTCAGAAATCCGCCTGCCTCTGCCTCCCAAGTGCTGGGATTAAAGGCTTGCGCCACCACTGCCCGGCCACAGTAGGAGTTTTTAAAGGTCACATGTCCAACTACTTGGGCATTTAACACACATGGAGTTAGTCTTCCACTCAGGCCTGTTTAAATGTTTTTGCTTCATTCCCCCACTGAATTTCTGACTCCCCGTGTTCATCTCTGCCTATATCGCCTCCGCCCCATCCAACATCCCCAGGCATCTTCAAACTTTGAAGTGGCTCCCACTTCTGAGTTCCTGCTCTTCAGCTCTCTCCTGTTCTCTTCCACATATGGTTTTATAGTTCATGCATCAGGGAATAATCTCCAGAGTAATATGTTAATCTGAGACCAAGAAGAGAGAGTCTTTGGAGGGTAATTGGGATTAAGGAAGGCTATGAGGTCTTAAAATAATAGAGACCAGCTAGCTTGCTTGCTCTACCTGACCATGTGACACTCTACTGTGTCATAATCCAGCAGGAAGACCCCTCCCCATCAAAGGGTGAGCAGAATGGGCCTTCCTGGATTGCACAACTATGAGCAGAATGGACTTTTTACACAGGAGGTGGAGGTGTGTGGCTCAGTTGGTAAAGAGCTTGCATTGAGAAGACCTGAGGTCAAGCCCCAGAACCCACATAAAAAGCTAGGCATGGTGCTGCATACCTGTAATCCCAGCACTGGAGAGGTACAGACAGGCAGAAAACACTGGGCTTCACTGGTCAGTCAGCCCAATGAGAAACTCTGTCTTAAAGAAATCCAATAAAAACAGGGCAGATGGCTCCTAAGAAATGACACCGGAGGTTAATATCTAGTTTCCACATGGACACACACACACACTGTATATAAACCTCCTGGTCGCAGATGTGTTGTTATAACACATGAAGACAAGTGTCAAAGGCTCCTCTGGGTCACCTGTCCCATCAACTGCTGTCTCCAGGGCTCAGTATTTGTTATTTCCTTGATGTATCCTGTGACATCACTGGCACGTCTGCCTTGGGAAGCCTCTTCCAGCATACCTGTGAACTCATGCTGACCTCACGCACTCACTGTCTCTGCCTTACCTCCGCACAGCCCTTTGCTTGGTCTGCAGTGTTTCTGTTGCTTTGTGTACTGTCTGTCTCTTCTGGGATGGGGAGCATGGCTGATTTATCCTTGTCAGCTCATAGGAACTGTTGACTTAATGAGTTAACATCAGACCAGCCCTATCAACCCTACTGGCTTCTGTACTGGAGCACCTCACAGGTACCTCTCTCTCTCATCCAGCATTAGTGGGAGCAAACTTGTGTTTACCCCAATTTGATGTCCTCACTCAAGCAGGGTGCCCCTGGACATCCTGCCTCTTGATCTAGTAACATGGCTCACCCTTCAGCTCCTCCCTTTCCTGTGTTTGTTCTTTTACCAATGACATCACCGTTTCTTGTAAAATATTGTTCCTACTGTTATCACTCACTCCTAATTTGCCCAGGCTGCTACACAGACAGACCTGAACAGTTGTCACCTTTTCCTAGCAAAACTTCCTACCTCCAGGCTGTTGATCTGTCATCTGTCTCTCACCACCGGAAGGATTTTCCAAAAGTGGACAATGTACCAGACCCATACTCAAAACCTCTGGACACGCAAACTTACCTAGGAATCCCTGACTCTTCTGGACCTGACTCCAGTGTACAGGAACCCCATCTTTCTCCATTGCTTCCCAATTGCTCCCACCCCTGTGTTTCCATCTAGAACCCTAGGTCCTGCCCTTGCTTTCCAGATGTTACTTCTGCCTGGAGAGGAGCCGTAGTCTGCTTTCCCTGAGTCTGCAGTACGGCTCCCTGGCAACTGCTCTGGATCCAAATCACTTCTCTGGCAGCGTGACCTTGCCCAAGCTCCGCTGTCTGTCTGCTTCATTCTCACAGGATAGAAGGCAATGGCTCTCCTGGGACCTGGAACTTCTCTCACTGCAGACTGTGTTTCCTGGACAGCAGAGATACTTGGGAACATGGCTCTTAAGGCTTAAGCTCTGAATCTACCCATATCTAGCCCATCTTCCGGACAGCCAAGCCGGCTTCCGTTGCTGCCAAGCTCCTGATCTTACTCATATTCAAGAGGATATTGATTTTTTTATAAGCTAGATGACTTTGTAAGATCCCTGTCACCCAACATTCAGAGGCAGTGTAGTCCAGCAGGTAGGACTGGACATAGCTATAGATAAGAACTTAGAGAAAGCAGTGTGCCTTAGGCCAGAAAGCCCAACCCCTGTGTGTGCCTACAGTCTACATGTGTGCATGTTGTCCTGCAGAGAGGATTGCATTCTGTGAACCTTCTGATCCTGCCTGTTGACCTCACATGATGTCTTCAAAGTTATTGCACATTGGTCCATAACAATCAACCCTCTTCCTGGTACTGGTTAAATAACAGGCCATTATGGATGTGGTATGAATTGTTTAACACTTATGGTTGAATAATCAGGACATCTAGATTGCTTGCCACTTCCCTGTATATCCTGCTGGTCCACTGTTTGCCCACATGCAAAGAGAGCTACAGGATGAGTTATCAGCTTGAGACGTGCTGGGAATAACTGCTTTGGGGGTCTCTGTCTTCCCTCTTTGCTTTCTCTCCCCTCTCCACTGCTCCTCTCTGTGGATTTTACTGAAGTAGAGCATAGTTACAGGAAAGCATAATACGCACAGCTCAGTGAGTCTTCAAGGATGAACTCACTGTGCCACCAACAGCCAGAAAAAGAAATACCATTCCCAGAAGCTGGAAGTCCCTGAGTTTCCTCAGATCACCATTTCATCCTCCCTCACTCCCTGACCAGCATAATCCTTATTATGGCCTTTGTGGGCATTGGTTACTCTGTGTGTGTATGTGTGTGTGTATACACGTTTTGAAATCTTTACAAAGAGAATTTACAGCATGTAAAATTTGGGGTCTGGCTTCCTTCACTCGATATAATGTTACACAGAGTTGGGTTTTATATGTGTATGTATGTGGAGTTGTTTGTGCGTGTGCATGCATTGGAAACCGGACATCAGTCTGGGGTGTTGTTCCTCAGAAGCCATCTACTTTGTCTTAAGAGACAAGTTCTCTCACTGGGACCTGGGGCTGGACGATAAGTCTAGGTTGGCTGGCCAGCAAGCCCCTGGGAACTGCCTTTTCCTTAGTGCTGGGTCTACAAGTGTGTGCCAGCTTTTTACATAGGTTCTGGGCAGCAAAACTGTTATGACTGAGCTATCTTCCCAGCCTTTGTGTTTATTTTCTTCTAAAAATCCTTATTGCTATAGTATAGACCTTGGGATTGTTTCCAGTCTGATGTTATTATGAATAAAACTGCTATAAAAGTCCCAATACATGTGCATGCATTTTTCTTTTCTTTTCCTTTTGAGACAGGGCCTTGCTATATAATCTGAGCTGGTTTTGAATTTATGGCAATCCCCCTGCCCTAGCCTCAAACTTAGCCAAGATTCCCTGACTCTTCTGAGACAGACTGTATTGAGATACAAATATGCACAACCATAAATTACTTTATACATGTATTTAACCCAGAAAGATATTGTCAAGTTCCCCTGTTTTATGTTGTCATGACCATTTACCCCCACTGGTCACTGTAAAGCCAGATCCCCACTGTGTATACATGTGTGCACATAGATGCATGTGTGTGTGCGGAGGCTAGTAAAATCAGTGTTGAGTGTTTTTGTCATTAGTTCTCCACCTTATTTTTTTGAGACAATGTGTCTCACTGAATGCAGAGCTCACCAACTGCTGGCCATTGAATGGAGGGATTCTCCATCTCTGCCTTGATAGTACTGCATAGTACAAGTATGTAGCCAGGCCTGGGGGTTTTGT